TTAAGTTTTTTTGACAAAGTTTTAACGAGACAACATTTTATTATTCCAAATTATTTATACCCTTTTTTCATTTGTTGACCATTTTTGTCCATCGAGTTTTTTGCTAAACAATATTTCAATGAGATAATTATTGTATATATAGTTATTCAATGAGGAGCGTTGTAAATATAGTAGTATTTATGATTGACTTTTATACCTCTGCAGTCTTAGTCAATATGATTGTTGTATTCCTTACAACTCTAATTTTTCTTTATAAATATGAAGTTTTAGTTCTTAATAAAACACACAAGTTTATTTATTTTATTTTCTCTGGTTTATAACAAAAATATACTATATATTAGTTATTTCATAATGAACAAACAAATTCTAACTATAGGTGAAGGAAATTTTCAACTAAATGGATTACGTAATAGTAAATCGAGGCTTATGTTTACACAATGTCCGTAAAATAGTTTCGTTCACTCAGTGTAGTGCTCGAAGTTAATTGAGCTCTCGTTTCCCACGATGAAATGAAGAAACCCTAGCAGTAAACTTCTACATCGTACGAACTTAATTTAATCTGATCATTATCACTAAGATTCAGATAAAAACAGGACAATTCCTGACAAACAGAGAACGAAAATATTTCAGAGAAATGAGAGTTTTTCCGGTGCTCTGGAACCGAGGAAAATGGACCTCTTTAATAGGCTCCAATCCATAGATTACTTAAGTGACCAGTTTTTACAGAGGTTAGCCCGCTATTTAATTTCCCATTAACACAGGCTATTAAGCATAGTAGTCTAAAGTTGTTGAATTGGAAGGACATCTGGAAATAAATAAAATAATAACAAAATTTGGACCTAAATTTTAAGAGTAATGCAATTCGTAGTCGCTCATTGCGGTAGTCGCCTTACGTGGCATACACATGGCATGTGATTATTTGATACATTAATATGGTAGTTTTTTTATTCATTAATGCATCAAATAATCACATGCCATGTGTATGTCACGTAGGGCGCCGCCGCAGTGAGCAACTGCAAATAACATTATTCAAATTTTAAAGGTCTGAGTTACTAATTCGATCTGTGATTTGCATACTTTGTCTGAGCATGCAATGGAGAACTTTTATGTTACATGTGATTATACTTCAAAATACATAGTCATATTTAAACAAATTATCGTCTATGTGGGACAAGTTTTTATCGCTTTGCCTCGAACACTTAAATAATTTTCAATTGATATACTTTGAGTTTCAATTTCTAGTTCATCCGAACATCATTTTGGACAAGTAAATATATATTTTTGATGTCTCGGGAAAGAGAACGCGAAATGCTCTACTTTCTAAACTCATTACATCCCGTATTAGATCGGATAATAATTTACTCAATCTAATTTTGTAAGAATTAAACAGAATCAAACTTTGTTGATTTAGTTCGATACAATAAAGAATAAATCCAACATATGCCCTCCCCTATCTCCTTGTCCATTATTAAAGTAGATATGCGTGATACTCAGGTCATAAATTTTAAAAAGTGAAATTTACATTATTGGCCTAAATTATTATATCTAATCCATTATCAAATTTCTTACCAAAAATGATCCCTCAACACTTCTGGTTGTCTTCAATTATTATGAATGAAATTCACGAGAATAGATTTCTTAGTGGAAGAGTAGGTGGCTATATAATATAATATTATTTTCACAATTATTTCAAATAAAATACATTATAATGTATTATTTTCAAAAATTTGTTTCGAGTTAACTACACTTTGATTTCAATAAAATGATATTTCTTCTTATTCTAATCGCCGAATCAAATGATTGTCACTAAAGTCTCTTTTTGCTGACTTTTGTTTATTTTATTATGTATATTTTGTCAATGACAATAGATGTAATAAAATTATTGAATAAATGATATTATAACCGACTTCGACTTTTTCAAAATAAAAAAATAAAATAAAATCATGATCGATTAGGATTTTCATAACCAACAACATTCTTAGAGCCTGTTTGGGAGTAATTTTGAGAATTGATTTTTTGATCGTTAGGAGAAAAGTGGAGTCTACCTGTGAGAGAAAAAGTCAAATATGACGGTTGGAATAGTGAAATAACGGTCAAAAAATCAATTTTTTTGGTAAAAAAATCGGGCCCAAACAGGCCCTTAGCATGTTCGGCCACACTCAGAGTTACATTCAAGAAAAATATATTTTAAAATATAAGTAACATAAAAAAAAAAAAAAAAATTAACTTACTTTAAAAGCTACATATAACTCGATTCCTTTATTCTAGATGGTAGCATGAAATCTGTGGTTGTAGATTGCTATGTTGCCTCTATGACCCGACGCAATCAATATAACTTTTGTTGGCCCTTTTTGTGGTTTTGATTTTCTTTCAAGATCTTGACTTTTAAATTAAAGTCACGAACGATATTATTTCAGTTGAATTTTATATTTGTGCTTTCTATACAATTTAGCATGTGTTTGAACGATATTAAAATAAGATATTTAGTATATATTTTGATAAACGTTAATGAAATGTACGGTTAAAAAATTGTGAGTCCTATAAAATATGTTATTAAAATTAAATGTTGATTTTGACTTATATTTTAATTAAATTTTTTAGCGGTATACCAAACAGAGGCTTAATGTTAATTGTGATGACAGCCATAATGAGGAAATTATAACTCACTTTGAATTGTAAGTTTTCTATTGAATTTTCACATTCGTCTTAAAGTGTCAACCATATTAAGAATTGTAAAAATAGTGACTTATTTAAAAATAATTATGTTAGAATTTGACTGCTCGTTTGAGCTCGTGAAAGTTTGTTGAAGCAATATCCTGTGGAGGTAGAAAGTCCATAGGTCATAAATTTATTTTTGTCGAAAAAGAAATAATGTCTGCATATAGGGAATGAGTATCATCTAACTCTAGATGAATCAAATTTTTCGTTTGAATTCTATGAGCTCTAATATCACATAAATTTTGCAATAAATGAAGAACATGGACCCAATTATGCAATCCCTCGACCCTTGTTCTTAAAAATGTCAATTGTATTAAGAATTTCATATACTCTTATATATGTTCATGACTATAATTAACTTATTCTCGTAAGATAATAACTTATTTGAAAATATTTATGTTAAAATTTGACTGCTAATTTGAGTTTTTAGATGAGTTAAATTGTTTGTTTGAATTTTTTGAGTTCTGATAAAACGTTGATTTTAAATTCAGCAATAAGTAAAGAATGCGGACCCAACTATGTGACCCCCTATATCGCATGTAGGTAAGATATTTAGTTAATGGCAAAATCGGTGGTAACCATCATTTGAGATTAAGGGGGGTGTCTAAGCAACATTTTTTTGGTAATAATGCATTTATGAATAGTGTATTGATGAGAAATGTGTGGTTAAAAAATAAGAAAATTTTTTTGATCTGTATGTAATATTATTTTATTGAAAAATGTGTGGTTGAAATAATGTCAAATCACTGTTTAAGAATGTATTTTTTTTGAAATAACGTGGCTCAAACAAGCCCTAACTTTGCTTATCTATGGAAGGTTGGGAATAAGAATGTATGATCATTACTATATATAACATATTCTCGGAATATAGTAACTTGTTTGAGAATGGTTATGTGTAGAATATCACGATTCGTTTGAGTTTTTAGACAAGCTGAATTGTTCATTTGAAATTTTTGAACTCTAATACCGCGTTGAGTTTTGAGTTCTACGATAAGGGAAGAACATGTACCACCTATGTAACCCTTCGTATATGGTGTGCAGGTCAAATGTTTAGTTTAAAGCAAAAATTGATGGTAACCATCTTTCGAGATTAACTTTGCTTATTTATGAAAGGCTAAGGACACAAATGTATGTTCACTACTATATTTAACATACTAAATTCTTTGAGAATGTTTTATGTTAGAATTTGACAGCTCCTATGAGTTTTTAGACAATCTGAATTGTTTGTTTATATTTTTTGATTTCTGATATTACTTTGAGTTTTATGTTCTAAAATAAGAGAAAAACATGGACCAACCATACAACCCCTTATATCACGTGCAGGTCACATGTTTAGTAAATGGCAACAGTTGATGGTAATTGTCATTCGGGATTAACTTTTTTTATCTATAAAAACTGGAGATAAGAATGCGACAAAAAAAAAAAAAAATTGGTTGGGATCAAATTTGCAAATTTACCCTACATACATACGTAATGACAAATCAAAGAACATAAAATAAAGTTATTTATGTAATCTCCGATAAAAAAGGAAGCTTTTTTTGGCTTAATCAGTTCTTATTGATTGATCATGAAATCAACTGGGGCCCATTTGTATACAAATAATCTATAGTTTGATTGACTTAATTGCTTTATTTATTTTTTTAAAAATGGTCCTTTCAAACTTTAACACGTTCGCACATGTGGTCACCCCAAGGCCCAATTATAATAGTTTAGAGGAAACACATTTTGCACACGAAATGGATTTGGGAGAACGGCTACATTTTGGGGGTTTCTTCAGTTGCAGAATGAGTGAGTTTGGGACTTCCAATTCGACTGCGACTTTACTCAAATCGGGGGTCTAGGGCTTTGGGAGGGAGAAGAGGGTTTTTGGTTCAGTTTCAATTTTTATGGGGCTGTCTCCACCTAAGGTAAAAGAGAGGAAGAAATAATGAAATGGGGTGTGTTTGTATGGGTTGATGTGGAGCTGATTGGGAAAATACTTGACACTAGGATTGATTTAACTGGCCAGCTAGACTTTCCGTCTGCCATGTAGGTACGTCACTTATCAGATTTCAGTCGGTGAGTAATGGGCAGTAACGGAGTGAAGTTCAGTGGCCAGTGGGACAAGTTTTGAAGTTCAATGGCCAGTCCGTGACATGGTACTAAGTTCAGTGGCTAATGAAACAATTAACTCACTTTTACCTTTCCTTAAGTTTAACTAAATTTACTAATTACTGCTAAAAGTAAAATTTTTAAGGTCAACCGATCTTTCATTGAAAAGGTGGCACCGTCAGATTTATTGCATCTTTCAACCCGGTAAGATAGACATAGAACACACATAAATCTGCATTTTTCTCAACGAATTTCTGCCCAGAAAAGTCCAAATCTCTGCTCCGCCTGAGTTCCCATCGGTAGCACTATTTTCTTCTCTCTATATGTATAATTATATAGGCATATACTAATATTTCTCCTCTCTCTAAAAGTGCAGAATAGTGCCAAGCTGTCACCACCTCCATTTCCACTGTGGCTTCTGCTTTAAGCTCAATTCTGGGAAACCCTTTGGGAGAGGATAACAAAGCAGTCCTTTTTAACGAAAGGAAAAAGCTTCCTCACAGAAAAGATACACGTATGCATTTATAAAGAGTTTGTGGCCTTTTGCTATTTGTTATGTTCTCCTTTTGTCTTTGAAATCTCATTAATATTCTCCTTCTCACTGGTGGGTTCCCATTCTTATTATATCTTATCCTATCTTGTCCTGTTCAACCATTAAGTTTTGATGATGTAGTTAATTCAATATTATGTAGCAGATTCTGGGAATATATATGGTGTGATTATATGGTAGATCTTTGGGTCTCTGCTTTGTCTGTAATTTTCAGTAGATTTTTGTATGCAAGGTGGTCGTGTTAATGCCAAAATATGCTTCAAGAAGCAGTAAAATTTTCGATTAACTAATAATTCATTAATTCGTAGAGGTCCTTTATCAATTTCTTACTCCGTCAGAGTAAATATACTACTTTTCTTGTCTTCTCGTTCTTCTTTCTGTTCTGGGCCAATTCTTCTGAGTTAAGTGCCTGTTTACTGTAATTTGATGAACCATCATCAACATCAGCAGCAACAGATACGGCAAAATACGCAGATGCAGCAGCAGGTTGGTTCTGGATTGAAGCGTTATCGATCTGCGCCAAGTTCTTATTTAACAAGTCTTTCAGATATTTCTTCTACTAGTGGTGGATTTGAAGGAGATGATTTTGATCAGATTTTTAATGCTCGAGTTTCGAGTCCTGAAACACAGCAAATTTTTGAGAGATTCATGAATAGTGTTGATACCATTGGGCACAACTACTCATCTAATATGAGTCTGCAATCACAATCCCAATCACAATTTGTGCAACCAATCAAGAATGAAACTGATGTTCATCAACCACAGCAACAATTGCAGAAGCAGAAGAGTAATGATTATTCTTCAGCTTCCCAGATGACGTATCAGACCCATAGTTCAGGGAATGCAAGTTCTTCTATGGACAATTCTTTTAGCAGATTGCATGGTTCAATTAACTCAGATCGTGTTGCGCATATGAGAATGGATGGTGGTGTCTGCAGTTCAAATCTCATTCGACAAAGCAGTATGCCTGCTGGATTATTCGTTAATATAAATATTGATAATGGTAATTTTTCTAGAAATTTCTTGAATATATTATTGCTTTAGTTTCTATCAATCATGTTATAAGATATTCGGGATGAATCTCCTTTAGTAATTTGCTTCATGTGCTAGTAGTTGCATTTTTCTTAACTGAAAGTATTAATCATTGATCTCATTGCTATTAGAGTATACAAATTGGAGATCTATACCCGTGGTGGAAAGCCTATTATGGTAGATTGAATGCTTGTTTATTGATTTTTTTTATATTTGCAAAAGTTGGGAGCTTCTTTGTCTTCCCATTTAGTGTTTATTAACCTATTAAAATAGACTAAACCATTATATGCTTAAAAAATAAGAATCAGAAATGAGAAAGGGTTCGAAATAAACTCTCATTTTCTTTCTCTTGGATAATGATCATCATTGTTGCTTAAATTGGGCATAGATTCCTAGTTGAAATTTGTTTTTGTTATGCACTAATTTCCTTGGCAACAAAAATTTGAGCAACGTCACTGAAAATGTTTTAGTAATTCACAGAATTTGGAGCGATGAGAAGCCTGGGAAATTTTGAAGCTGGTAATAGTGGTCGTGCAGAAGCGTTATCTTCCTCTGCTAGTAGGTTTAAGAATCAAATGGTTTACCCCTCAATGCAACGTTCCTCTTTGGGGATGATGATTCCCATTTCCGAAATTGGGAGTAAAAGCATTGGAGAAACTCGTCCAGGTGACGGACATTTTCAGGAAGATCGTGCTAATGATGACAACTATGCCACAGGTTTCCCAGAAGTTTCTTGGAATGATTCATCAATGCTGTCCGATTATTTTATGAAAGGGCTAGGAGATGATGAAACTAAGACAGTTTCAAATATAAATGTCTCAGATGATCAGGTATTTTTCGATGATAAAACATTGTTTATTTTTTCCAACTGCTTGGTTCTGATGAGAAAGAACAACGATGCCGAGCAGAATTCTGAAGATGGAAATCGTCCCACTACTCTATTGTCCCACCATCTAAGTTTGCCTAGTAGTACTGCCGAGATGTCTGCAATGGAAAAAATGTGGCAGGAGTCGGTACCTTGTAAAATAAGAGCAAAACGAGGTTGTGCTACTCACCCACGTAGCATCGCGGAAAGGGTAATGCCTAAAGTCTAATTCTCTATTGTCATTATAAGTGAGAAACATTCTTATATTCTGTCATTATTATGACCATTTGGCAAACAGAAGTGGACTTACTGGTTTTTAATGTCAACAAAAATATGGAATCCACACTTTTGATCAATAAATTGTACTTGAAAATTTTATGTAATTGTTATAGGTGAGAAGAACACGAATTAGTGAACGGATGAGGAAGCTACAAGAACTTGTTCCCAATATGGAAAGGGTAAAGTCGTTGATTACAGAATTATTTGTGAATCTATATAATGTCCAATTCTTTTTTCTTCTTTTTTTTGAGGTTGTACTTAATTTTGCAGCAAACGAATACATCAGATATGTTAGATTTGGCTGTTGATTATATTAAGGATCTTCAGACACAAGTAAAGGTATAAATCTTAAAAGCTTGAATTGCAGTGGACACAATCCCTTGGCATCAATAACTTCCACTTCTGGATCCTTGTTAGTGACGCTTTGCTTTTCTCTTTGACTTTTTAGACCCTTTCAGATAAGCATGCAAAGTGCTCTTGCTCAGCTAAACTAAAGTCATAGACAAAAGGCCCCAGCTGTAGGACTTCATCCCGAAAGAACAAAAGGAGTCTAAAACAGAGAGGTACTTGATTTTCTCCAGCACCTTTCGGAAAAGAAGTTATTAGGTTAGCATTTTGATGGGGGTGAAGAATAGAGAGGCCTAAACTGATGTATTATAGAACCAATAATGGATTGTTCAAGGAGTATGGTTCAAAACTGAATAATGTTGAAAAAGAAAGAAGCCATTGTACTTTCATACCAAACTTATGTATTTGTGTATAATATTTATGTGGCTTCTTATGCTTCGGTTGAGGAACTCGACCAACTCTTTCATAACAAATGAGTCTAATGATGAAAAGCGTTTAGTTTGATGCTCTCCTTTTAACTTTCTTTGTACTTTAGGAATGTTATCCAGAAATTCTTCAATATCCTTATGATTGCAGACAAAAATTGAAAAGAAAAAAGTGATATATTATGTTTGAATTTAGTGGGCTGCATTCATTAGCTATATTTAAAGCTAAAAATGATTTCTTCTGCAATTTCCTTTTGTCTTTTTGCTGATATTATGTTGATGTTAGCCTCTAGGAAACAACTTTAGATCATTAAACCCTTTGTGATGTGCTTCAACTGCCATTAGCTACCCAGAATCAATTCTTTTGCGGTCCAAATAAAGGTGAAAGATTTTTCTTCTTCATGTTCCCAAGTTTGAATGTTTTGTTGTAAAAGCGGGCTGTATAATACTGAACAATTGAATGATAGTCAGAGGTAGGATTCTGTCATTCTACTTGTGTGGAGTGGTCCAGTATTAAGTGGCCTTTTGAAAGATATGTCCCTTGAGTTAGAAAAGTATATTCTGAATGTTGTGACCATTATAAGTTGGGCCCATCTATCAGTTTGTCTAGTTCTATAATGCTTTCCACTTGTATCCCATTTACCTTACCTTTTTCTTAAGTTTCATTCATAGTATGCAGCAATCATGCTCGATAATAATAATTATATGTGTATTGGGAAAGAAGAACCTGTGAAATCGATTATGCATCATCCGATTTTGGTGATGAACCTACCGGTTCTAAGCTTCTTTTAATGAGTTTTACAATATCAATTTTTTCCACGTAATTGGATTAGTATAACGATTTCACTAGTCGAACCTATTTTGGTGTAGTTCTTACAACATTGGTGGTGACTAACTATATTTCGTAGTTCCATACACAGCTCTTGCACGATGCATGAGTTGAGTTATTAGACTATACCAACTTCGTGATTCATATTCGTCGGGTCATTTGTTATCGTATATATTTGAGTTGTGTCTTTACTTGACCCTGACATTTATGATATAATTTTATTTTGCCCTTTTCTTCTATTTTTCAAGGAAAAACGAAAATGTATCTATCATAGTTGCGTGGCAGTTCGGGACTCCGACTGGTGACAGGGTTTAGGCATAATAGTAAAAACGTTTTCTCAATGCTAGTGGGCTCTCAACCACCCACATAAAAGCACCTTTCCATGAGAAAGAACAACGATGCCGAGCAGAATTCTGAAGATGGAAATCGTCCCACTACTCTATTGTCCCACCATCTAAGTTTGCCTAGTAGTACTGCCGAGATGTCTGCAATGGAAAAAATGTGGCAGGAGTCGGTACCTTGTAAAATAAGAGCAAAACGAGGTTGTGCTACTCACCCACGTAGCATCGCGGAAAGGGTAATGCCTAAAGTCTAATTCTCTATTGTCATTATAAGTGAGAAACATTCTTATATTCTGTCATTATTATGACCATTTGGCAAACAGAAGTGGACTTACTGGTTTTTAATGTCAACAAAAATATGGAATCCACACTTTAGATCAATAAATTGTACTTGAAAATTTTATGTAATTGTTATAGGTGAGAAGAACACGAATTAGTGAACGGATGAGGAAGCTACAAGAACTTGTTCCCAATATGGAAAGGGTAAAGTCGTTGATTACAAAATTATTTGTGAATCTATATAATGTCCAATTCTTTTTTCTTCTTTTTTTTGAGGTTGTACTTAATTTTGCAGCAAACGAATACATCAGATATGTTAGATTTGGCTGTTGATTATATTAAGGATCTTCAGACACAAGTAAAGGTATAAATCTTAAAAGCTTGAATTGCAGTGGACACAATCCCTTGGCATCAATAACTTCCACTTCTGGATCCTTGTTAGTGAAATCATATATATGTATAATTTTGATTATTATTTATTAAATTAAGGTCTTAAATTTTTATTTTTTTCAAATCGTTTTATTATATGGGAAGAAGAAGGAGAAGGAAAAGAGAATTGTGGGGACTAACACCTCGTATATAAGAATTTCACACCAAATCCGCATGAATTCTATTTCAGATGAAAATCTTTAAAAGTTTTTTAAATTCCATAAAAGTCTATAAAAAATTTAAAATGAAAATCCATAGAAGTTTACGAAAAACTTCCACTAATTCTATACAAATCCATAAAAGATCCACGAAATTTTTAAAAGTCATCACTTAAAAAAATGTCCATCAAAGTTTTCAAAAATTCCAATTGAATACACCTTTTAAGCTAAAATTTAGAGTTATTTTAGGCTAATTTTATGATGCAAAAATTAAAATTTTGGATCAATTTTATGGAGTTGAAAGAAAGAAGTTGGCCCATATTTCACACCGGACTGTAGCCCAGTTTGTGGGGTTCAGTAAATGGGCTGTAAGAGAACTTGTCGACATAAGTTTGTGTGTTTTGTGCGTGTTCAAAGTTTGACCCTTAACAAGACACGAAAATTAAGAATTGAATCTTGACTAATGAACATGAGTTTCATATCAAGTATATTTGAGGGGTCCATAGCATGAAAATTCAAGAAGTTTCTATGATTCATGTCATTGTTAATTTTGGGTTAAATCGACAAAATATCGCTAATAGATTAAAAAATATAATTACTTAATTAATCGAGACGTATTTAAAAGTTATGTAATTTATTCATATTTATTGAAATTAAAATTTAAGCTCTGTTTGTTTTTCATTTTGGTAAAAATGAGAATGAAAAATATAATCGTTATGGACTTCACATAAAAGATAAAAATTTAAATTTGATTGCTTGATGTGATGGATAACTGTCATATTTTTCATTTTAATGGAAAAAAATTGGGAAACAAACAGGTGCTTAGTTTGTTTTGATTTTGTTATTATAGGACAAGACATTGCATTCAAAAATTTTATTATCGTATAAGATGAATTTGCAAATAATTACATATTTCATGGATAAAAATTAAAATGGATATCTATGAAGTTTTAATCCAACAGTCAAATCACAAGAATAATAAAGTCAATTATGTACCTTTCTAGATGGGGAATCTTCCATGGAAATTTGCACGTATGAATTGTTCAGGAGTCAAATCATTTTGAGGTTTTCAACAATAATTTTTGCCATTGGCTTATTAATTAAGAAATTTTCCACGGGAAAGAATAGATATTTCATAATTGAAACCTTATCGATAAATTTTGAGATCTTAAAGTAATCTCCCAATTTTGGATTTTTTTGTTTTTATTTTGATTTACGTTCCAACTCTAAATTGTTCGAAGAATTGAGGTAACATGTCACTACATTGATTTGTAAAAGATCATAAATTATTATTTGTTCCCACGAGACTAATCGAATCTATCGTAATTATTTGAAACACACCCATAAAGCAAGCTAAACGAGCAAAAAAGGGTCAATATTCTCCATTCTTCTTCCATTACTATTCAACAAGGCTCACAAATCATACGGCCCCTTTACGGCCTTGTAGGCATAAAGTGTATGCATGTCTATACAAACCTTTACGACCTTGTAGGCATAAAGTGTATATATAAAGTGTATACATGTCTGTACAAACCTTTACGGCCTTATAGGCATAAAGTGTATACATGTCTATACAAAAATTTTGAGTCGAAGTAACAATTACATATCAATTTTTTTTTTATTTTTTTTTTTTGGGTATTACATAGTATTTATCTTTCTTTATTAACATAACACTTCAATTTAATGTCATTTCTTTCAAACAGCACATTAATATATAGGATGACCCAGAAGCAATGTGTTTACAAAATTCACAATGATTTTTATTTCTACACATAGGTTGACTTTATCAATGTACATTTGCATGAAAAAGATGTTCAACCCCGAACCGTCTTCATACTTCATTGTATTTGGCTCGATGCTTTGATATCTAGCCCCCGTTTGTTTCTCATTTTTGGAAGAATGAGAATAAAAAAATATAGTCGTTACGAACTCCACATAAGAGATAGAAATTCAAATTTGGTGGTTTGATGTGATGGATAACGATTATATTTTTCATTTTAATGAGGAAATAATGGAAACCAAACAGGGGCTGTCGTAAATCAAGCTACACCAAATTCATGAAGTTCATACTTCAATTCGTCAATAAAAATGTTAAAACTTCTGTTAGCTTTGATGAATTGTTCAACGTAACACAATTCGAGAAAACAAATTAAGCTCTATATGTGTAAAATTTGTCCAATAAAATGAAACATAAAATTTTTATAACAATAAACTTATAATTATAATTATAATTATTTTACTAAATACAAAATATTAGTACTTGTTTGAAACTTCATTCTCTTTAGTTCAACTTCCGATCATTTTTCTCCCCCAAAGTTTGGCTTCCAGGTTCCAACCCCCATCCAACACCGTCCATAATTCAGATATATAAATATCTAAAGAACCCAATTCTGCAGTTTAAAATTCGTTCATGCAGTGATTTTCGTATTTTTGTATGAAATCGATAGTAAATCGTGCAAAAAAGAAGGAAAATTTTCAAAAAAAAATGCCAATGGATCGATCACCATATTCGTCATCTTCATCTGAGAGTTCACAATTTTCTTCACCGAGCTCAACGCCGCCGAAGAATTCGCCGGTGGTGCTTTCAATTGAATGCTTAAAGGGCAGTTCAAAGGCGGACGAATGGGCCGGCGACATGCTACAGACCGGAGATATAGTGGAGGAAATCAGAATAGGAAATATGATTATCAAATCCCCGTTTAAAAATGGGAAATCTGGAGTGCAGAAAATTCTTCACAACTCGTTCAAGCAGAAGGAAACTTCGATCCATGTCCGAGTCAGGCGCGGCTCGGACGAGTTCGCTGAGTTGCAGGCGTGTATTGTGCCCAACGATCAGTTTGGGGCGAAGAAGCAGTACGTGATACGGGCCATTAATGACCCGAATTATGCTGTCGGGTTCTGTGATCGGACCGAAACTGAGTGCTTCCATTTACAAGGTAATTTCATGGCTTGATTCAATTTGCTTTCCTACGCCAAAACTAATTTAGAAATACTAGTATATTCTCTTAGATAATTTAAGATAAGGCCATTAAGTTTTCCTTGGATGCTATAGAAATAACTCATCAAAAAGCTTGTTTTAGACCATATCCAATAGTACATCAAATTTGGTGTAAAAATCACTTCAACAATAATTCATTATTCTCATTTTGCCTTCCATTTTCTTTATACACCAAATTTTTGTTCCATCTGTATCTTTATTTTTGATGAAAAATTTGGTAGTGGCATCAAACTAGGACAAGCTTATTGGGAGACGAGCTTGTCTTGGTCCCACCCACCTGGGGATTAGTAAGGAGGGAAAGATGGATCTTGTCGAAATAGTGATATAGGCTCGTGTGAGCTCTCGCAGAATTTCTGAGCTTAATGATTTGGTTGTCTATCATAAAGTAGAGAAATGTTTTGGAATTGTATATTTTTTTTAAAATGTGTGGTTAAAAAGTAGAAAATAATTTTGAATTTATGTGTAAAATATTTTATCATAAGAATGTATAGTAAAAAATAAGTATTAGAAAAAAATTAAAATAATGGTAGACAAATAGGAACTTTGAATAAATAAATTTTATTTATTTAAGAATGTATGATTAAGAAATAAGAAAAAGTTTTAATTTTACGTGTAACATTATTTTATTGAAAAATATGTGATTGAAAAGAAAAAACAAAAAAATGAATTTTGAGAAAAATGAACATCAAACAAGGGCGGCTATAATATTTAACTATTTTGTCAAAAGGCGCGTCTCACGCATTAGATGAGAGGGTAATAATACAAAAATTATAGCTGACTTGAAATGATCCCTATCTTTGTGAACATCATTTCGTTTTATACAATCTCTTTCATCAATCTTAAAAGAAATAATAATGCTAATTATATTTTTTCTATTTATCTAATATAATTTATTTTTTATTTTTAAATCATTGGAGGAATGGAGAGTTTTGAGGAATATGAATTCACTTGAACATAAGATATGGCTATCTCGTAAAGTAAGGTACAAACGAATCTTTTTAAATAGCTAATGATGATTTAACCAAGCTAGCTTAATAATTAACGCATGCCGACTTTAAATATATTTATAGATTTCTTTAATTTTAATTATCTATATATATTTTTTCCCTTTAGTACATGTTTTGTGGGATGGGGTAAGTGGAATTAGCATGTCACATAGTTTTACTGGAATATTTAGCCTTGTTCGGTTTCATTTATTTTTATTTAATTTAATTTTTCAAGAAACGATTGGTGGATAAGTGAGTTATATTTGTGAACCTTTCGAAATGTATGATTAAAGTGAATGTTTGAAAAGTAAAATTTAAGGAGAAAAATGAAACTAAAACAGAGTCTTGTTTGATTTATCTTTAATTTAGTGAGGACCGTTGAAATGTTAGACGGATAAATATATGAATTTCAACCGATCTTTCATTGAAAAGGTGGCACCGTCAGATTTATTGCATCTTTCAACCCGGTAAGATAGACATAGAACACACATAAATCTGCATTTTTCTCAACGAATTTCTGCCCAGAAAAGTCCAAATCTCTGCTCCGCCTGAGTTCCCATCGGTAGCACTATTTTCTTCTCTCTATATGTATAATTATATAGGCATATACTAATATTTCTCCTCTCTCTAAAAGTGCAGAATAGTGCCAAGCTGTCACCACCTCCATTTCCACTGTGGCTTCTGCTTTAAGCTCAATTCTGGGAAACCCTTTGGGAGAGGATAACAAAGCAGTCCTTTTTAACGAAAGGAAAAAGCTTCCTCACAGAAAAGATACACGTATGCATTTATAAAGAGTTTGTGGCCTTTTGCTATTTGTTATGTTCTCCTTTTGTCTTTGAAATCTCATTA